TGTTTACCGTAAAATGAGAATAGTCCTATGTTTAGGTTTATTTTATAATCTATTTACCATACTCTCGTAATGTTGTCGAGTCTACCGGCTTTAATTGCCTTCGATTTTCCTGTCCGTAAAATTCTGGAACCAAGTGGCGCATTACACCGTGTAGCTAGTTCATTACACACCTAATAAAGCTTATAAACACGGCGGGTTTCAAATTGATGAGACGCCAGCAGAGAGTCCATATAAACCATCCAAGCAGTGTAGAGTGGTCCCTCCAACTACACATTTGACCACCTGAGTTTTTCTTCTTACATTCGTTTGGCTAATAGTTTTGTGTGTGTGTGTGTGGGGGGGGGGAGGGGGGCGATTATTTACTATTTACTAATGACTATTTAGTAATTTTTTATCCAAAGCGACTTACAGTGAATACAGATGCATGTGATCAAAGGATAAGGGCATCTTGCTCAAGGATGCCTCCAGGTTGGTAGGGGACATTGGGTATCGTACCCAGAACCCTTTGGCTGTCCCTAGCTACTACACCATCCTGCCCCACACCTATTTGTCTCGCACTTTACACTTTTATCAGGTTTTCTTATTTTAAGTTATCGTAAAACCGACTGGGCTAAGAGGGAGTCTGGCTTGACAATGATTATGATTATGGTAAGTAAGTAAAACTTCATTTATATAGCACTTTTTAAAACACACAGTTACAAAGTGCTTTACAAACAGAAATAGAATAAGTAATGAATGAAGAAATGAATAAGTAAATGAGGTAAAAACAATATTACAATGTACAAAATTACTAAATAAACAATATAATGTTAAAAAGAAATGTTACAAAATACTACAATTTAAAACCCAGCAGAAAGTGAGACATACCAAACAAAAACAAACCAAAAGGTAAGACAGTTACAATATAGTAACAAGATTAAACAATTACAACATAATACACAGCATAATGAGAGACACACCAAACACAAACAAACCAAAAGATACGACAGGGATGGAGACCTACAGAAAGGCTTGCCTATCAAAATGTGTGGGCAAGATCTTGCAGTGCCTTATATGTAATCAACAGGATTTTATAGTTTATTCTGAATTTTACAGGAAGCCAATGGTGGGATGCAAGAACAGGGTTAATGTGGGACCGACGGCAGGTTCTAGTTAAAAGCCTGGTGGCTTGAGGACCCTTGAGGAACTCCACACAGCAGGGGTGCGGAGGAGGACACATGATTATTGATTCGAACATTAAAATATGATATTGTTAAGTACAAATGAAACCGGTTTAAACCGGTTTAAAGCTGTACCAGAAATGCCAACCCAGTAATGCAATCTATCAAGTAAAATGGCATGATCGATGGTGTCAAACGCAGCAGTCAAATCAAGTAGGATGAGAATGGAATATTCACCTTTGTCGTTTCAGTGCTATGTTTATGGCAAAAGCTGAACTGAAATTTGTCGAAGATTTTATGACCCTCAACCAAATTGGTAGCTTGGAGATTGGTCTATAATTGTCTTACTGGGCAGGGTCGAGAGAAGGTTTTTTAAGAAGTGACTGAAAAGTTGTGATTTAAAAGTAGTCAGGTACAGACCTGAGCAGGCTGGGACCTAAGATAGGACGGTGAGTGTATAGACTTCTTTATTACGTGAAGGCCATGAAGGCAATAAACTGCCACTTGGATGCAAAGGTCTCTGTTTCACGCAGAGCCTGGAGTAGATGGGGGTAGAGTGTATAGTTAAATACCATATGTGCCTTCCTGTTGGGCCCCTACTGGTCCCCTCAGCCCCCCCCCCCCTTTTTTGCTTTTAATGGAGGCATTGTCATCCTGCTCATTCTTCATGTGTATTCATTTATTTTATTTTAGTTGTTGGAACATATCTTTACTTTCTAACAGTAAGAGGAAGAGGGCAGGTATAATGTTGTATGGTATGGTATTATATGGTTTGGTATATAGGTAAGTCAAGTCATCAAGAACAAATTCTTAATGACAATAGCAGCCTGGGAAGTGGCAGAAGCTATTTGAGGGGAAAAGGGTCTCAAAGAAGAAGCAGACATCAATAAAACATAAAAAACACTCTTGAGGAAGAAATTTCAAGAGTGATTTTCGAGATTTTTCCCTCAATGCAGCTTTAAAAAATAAAAAAACATCTACTTTTAAGAGTTAAAATATGAAAACGCCATGAGAAGATGTTTGGTCTAGTTAGGTGAGTGCTGCTAGGCAGTGCTCAGCTTATGTTCTTTTTAAGGCCTTTACCAGGGACGAAACGAAAATGCAGAATATTCGTTGACGAATATTCACATTCAAACCTTTCACACCAAGACTGACACAAATTATCACGCTCCATAGATTCAACTGAAAATATAAAGTTTATTACTGCAGCAGCAGTAGCAATGACGAGCTTATGATGAATGAAAGGTTCAGAAAATCTATTGATCGTGTGAGCAAAAGTCATTATTTTATTGGTTGACTTGTTTTTATGGGCATCCGAAATTCGCAGAAATCGAACCTGCTGTGGAAAAAAGACATCTGCACCGAGTTTCGGATTCGGTGTGGATAGACTCATAGAGATAGATGGGTTCAAATTTTTTAAATGATGTGCGATTTAGTCGCACAAATTATTTGCGTTTGGTCTGAAAAGGCCTTTAGGCTTTATTCTTCACCTAGAGACTCCATTCAAACTTGCTTGGATTACTTTTCTGATTCAAATATTGTATACTTTTTGAAATATTTAACTTTTAAACATTAAAAAATTATAATGGAAGTCAATAGGCAGACTGCAAAGCAGTCTAACTTCAACTACTTCAGACTTCACAACTCAGTCAGTTTTTAACCTTCAAAGTCCCCCTCCACTCAAAAATGTGTTTTTCTTATGTTTATATCCCCTTAAATGTCTGTCCTTGACTATACTGACTTGTATCTGTGCAGTTTGCCATTAGAGAGGTATTTTCACATTCCTCTACTGAAGGGGGTCTGTGCACTTCACTGAAATTTTAAATTCAAACGTATCCCAGGCAAGCTTGATTTGGTATGTCACTAATACGAAAGCCAATTGCTGTCGAATATGCAAATGCAGGCAAATAAATCTGAGACCTCTAGCACATGCAGTGAGAGCGTAAGAGCAGACATGTCAGTAAACTCTTTGATTACCTCTGGTATATAATTACGTAATGACAATGTGAACACAGTTTAACATCGTTGCCGATTTTGGTGCACAGCAGACTCCTCATCTGAGTCTGGGGCTGACTGAGGCTCAAACATGTATGGCTGAATCTCGCCGATGTTTCCGCTAGCCATCTTGATGTGCACTGCTATCTTTCACCCATCAAGCCTAGCGCAAACAGCGGTGGTGGGTGAGGCGTGACGCCTGTGATATTTGCATATCATGAATATTCACAGATCCAGAATCTCTTAATGAGGGAGAAGTAGATGTGCTTCCAGCCCCATTTAATGTGAGTTTAGTGAATGAGTTTTTTATTTGTACTTTTTATGTGTGAAAACCATGCTAAACTAAATATTAATCATAGCAGAGTATTTTCACACTTTGTTCAAACTAAACTTTGTTCAAACATTTAACAAATCATCACATTTTGATCTATAAACTTATCGAAACATATTTGCGATATATTTTATACTTACTGAGATTGAAACCTATTTGCAAACTTCCATGCTACATGTATACAAAAGCATGCATTGAATGAGATGCTGAAAGTGCACAGGTAAACTATAAATAGTGGTTTAATAAGGGTAATACTGCATTTATAAACATAGACATACAAGTACCGGTATTTGTCCATGCAGCAATACTTTATTACTTGAATGAGAGACGCTAAACGGCAGGACTCTGAACACGCTGTTGCATATTTGCCTGCTACCGTCTTTGCTGTAAGATTTCCTCTTCGGTGTATTCAAATAAATATCCATCATTCCTTCCACTCAGTAAGACTGACATTGGTATTCATTGCTAGCAGCCATTGTAAAATCTCGTGTAGCTCTACAGGCTAATGACGACTACCAACCAGATTGGTGCTTAATTCCAACCAGAAAGTATGGTATTTTTAACATGGTATTTGGTATGGTATTTTGTATCTTATCTGAATACATTGTATTTGCTAAGTCTCTCCACCAATACCTACACAAAGACACACACACACCTGTGCACACACTGTACACAAATGCGTACACACAGACATACACACACAATGTGTCTTTTTCCTACATATTTGTGTGTGTGTGTGTGTGTGTGTAGTGGAGCCCAGAGTTTTAATATGGAGATGGTACTGCTGCTCCATTTGCTCCTTCATTATATGTACATATACAAACATTTCCAACCACAAAACCCTGTTTTGCTGACTTAAAGACTAACTCTAAAATCAGCCTTGCTTTTTTATTTATTTCAATTCAAAGCAGAACGTCTCCCAGACGAAAATCTAATCAAACGCTTCACTTCAGACGGCTAAAGCAGCCCGCCGCTTTATCCAACCAATCAAAACAAGAATGCCCCTCATAAATGACTGCTGTTTATGTTTTGATTTGGTCAAATCGTTTCTAGTTGCTGCCTTTAGAAAGCATTGTAATCTAACGAAGGGAAGGCAATCTTTGAATTTATGGCATCCTTTTTGATTAGACTTTGTATTTTTCTTGATATTTAGACATTTGCTGTGTTTGTAAAGCATGTTTAGAAAATGAAGAATATACATATCTGAAGTTGTTTATTCATTGGAATGTGTATCCTCCAATTGGGTTTTCAATGGCTTTTTCCACTAATCATATATGTCATGTCATAAACCCTACTCAAACATCTGGTTGGTCTTAGTCAAAACTGCATGTAATGTACATTTAGTGGGGAAAAAATGCTGCTTAATAAAATAAAATGAGTAAATACCTAATACATTGTAGCATATATTTTACCGAAAACATTTGTTTCAATTTGAAATATAATTATTTTTAAATATGTATCATTAAAAGGCAAGAACTGGGCATCTTGCTCTAGGATGCCTACAGAAAGACTGCGGACATTGGTAGGGTTTGAACCCAGAACCTTTTGGCTGGGAGTCAAACATCCTAACCACTAGATTATTCGTCTATTTATTATCGTCTATTTTGGCTCTTCCTTTTTATATCCATGGGAGGCTCGGGTTTCAGCAGACACCCACACTATATACCCCAACATGCATGTTTCTTTGAGGGAATCCCTAAAACCGAGTAATCGCCGATCGCTGTGACTCATAACATCCTCTAAACCACAGAGCAACCATTCCCACCAAACGGCTGAAGATCTATAATGACACCCCCCCGCCTTCTCCTCTACCAGGGGTTTTTTATGTGCTCAATAGTACACTAGTGATAAATAGCGCCACATAAATAGGCCACTACAGGGGAGAGAATTGGGGGGGGGGGGGGGGGGGCGAAACACACGTTGATGTTCTTCGCAATTAGTATTGATTTCGACCCTATGGAAGCTTCTCCACAGTCTGAAAAGAGTCTAAAGAGATTACAACAGTAGTAGTAGTAGCTCTGCAAATACAGATGTGTATCTGGAAGTAGCTAATACAAATACAGATGTTTATCTGGAAGTAGCTCTTTGCAAAAATACAGATGTTTATCAGGAAGTAGCTCTTCGCAAAAATACAGATGTTTATCAGCTGCTAATGGATTCATTGTTCAACGACGGAAGATGAAGTTTTTTTCAGTGTTGGTTGCCATTGTTGCAATTCTCAGAGAATGGGGATTGCATTTGGCGACCCCTGGGAATAGCGACACGAGGATGAGGTTTTCAGTTGTAGGCTGCAGTTTGTAGACCGCTAGGTTTTGTGCTCGGCAGCAGTAGTCTGTTTGTTTGTCTTGTCCCTGGTAGCAGCAGTAGTAGTTGTAATAACAGTATTATCTTATCTCTCCAATTACCTTTGCGAGGTACGTAATTTAACGCGTCGTTGTTGGTGTACAAGTCGACGGACTTCCTATTTAGGTTCACACATTTCTTTTGTATGTTCTGGGTAATGGGTTTTGCTTAGCGCCTAGTCAAACAGCTTGACTCACACAGACACACACACAGTGTGAAAACAAACAAGAAATGCACTAAAAACAAACGTGGTATTCTCTGATGGGCCTGGTTGAGATGTTTATCTGTTGAGCTTTCACTCAAGAGAGTGTGTGGATTATTTCTCTCTACCTTCGCTCAAACTGACAACATTCACAGATGGCGGGAGGGGGGGATTAAATTATGAGATGCGGAAGGGAATGCTGTGTAGTTGTTTTTTTTTTAACACCGACAGCGTGCTTTTGAGCTGTGGATCATGTCAAGCTATCATTTAGCCTCCCCCTTCATTCTGACGCGCGGCTCACGCACCTGAGGCTCACCTTAATACACACGTCAGGTTCGGAAAAGAGCTTGTGTGTGTGTGTGTGGATGAAAGAGATGTGCTCAGCCTCAGACAGATCTGACTCCTTTCCTTTCTGCAATATTCCCTCCGTTCCTTGCGATACACAAACCTTACACACACACCTTACACACATACATGCATAACACGCACACACAATCGCTGGTCTCGGGGGAAATCAGTGACAGGGTTAGTGGTGTTTGTTTCGAGTGCGCTCTGGTACCGCCGCTCTGGTACCCCCCCCCCCCCCATTTCCCCCTCTCTCTCAAACCCATCGGCAGCACAATAACCATCTGCCTACCTCCTGTCTGGAGCCCAGACTCTCTCTCTGTCACCCTCTATATATCTATGTCTCGCTATCTCTCCCCCGCCTTTATCTCCTCCTCTTGTATTGCTCAGTGTCTCACTCAAAGTTCAGTGGCCGATGGCCTCTCTGTCTTCACCTCCATTCCTCCCTCTACCTGGCCATCTCATCTCGCCGTCCCTCTGCTTCTCCTTTCCTCCCCCCACTCCCCTCTTTGTGTGTTGTCTGTGGTCCGCTCCTCTCTCTCTTCAGCTTGTCTAGTCTCCCATCTCATCTTGACTCGACTTTTTTCTCGTTTCTCTTTTTATCTTGTCTCTTCCCCATCTTGTCTACTCGATTAGTTTTTTTCTCTGTCTCTCTGTCTCTCTTTGGCGCTTTGTCGTCTTGTCTTCTCTTCTGTCCTGTTCTCTTCGCTCTTCTGTTCACTTGTCTTTTTTTCTCTCCACTTGTCTCTACTATGTTCCTACTCCTCTCTCCTCATCTGTATTCTATTTTTTCCTCTCTTCTCTTAAATTTTCTTCTCCTCTCTTCACTCTTCTCCTCTTGCATGAATTATTATGTCCTCATTTACTCTCTCACGCACACACGTATACACACACAGTAAATATGATAGCAAATATGGCAATATGGACTAACAAGCACTACATGCACACACAGACTTATCCATCAGCCTTAAATGGAGGCGGTTAAAATGCAATTCCATCTCATTCTTGGAGTCCCAATTTATTCCTCTGATCAACTCTAGGTTCTCATTTGTCGACTTACCTCCACTCACAGAGGGGCAGCCGCTCCTTTTGATCTGGTAGATAAGGAAGACAGGGTAGTTTTTAAGGCTAATTCTGTAAAATGTAATATCTAATAATAAGATGCAACACACACACACACACCAACACATTACACACACACTGCTGCATTGCCATAAGCAATGATCAATAACTGTGAATGAGAAGCAATTATTTGTCATCATAATAATTGCAATAATGGAGTCATGGTTTGAGGTCCAAGCAGGTGGCCATCCACTGATAATTTCACTCTGCTAGATTAGAAAATTGACATTGGGAGAAGATAACATGAGAGCCCTAATGGCGTATTCATCGATCCATAATCAATATCATGTTCTCACATTGCAGACATCATGTCACATTACAGTTTTGTGGAAATATCTAGGGCTGAGCCACCATATTTGAATATTCGGATATTTGTTTGTTCGGTAGGTAGTCAAATCTCAATTCAGGATTCAAATGCTTCATTCATTTTTGTATTAAAAAGACACCTGCCGCCCAGTGTGAGAGTCGGCAAGACTGTCAGTGACAGACTTTAAACTAACAAGTTGTAATAATAATAATAATAGTATTTATTAATATATTGTATTATTACTAGCTCCCACTAGTCAGTTGCAGCCATAGAAATATGAAAGAATGAGGTTGCGGCAAGCGGGGGGTTAATGATCTTAAAAGCTATTTCAATGTTTAAATGAGGCCAAAAGATACCAAAAAGCTCTACCTACTTATAATAACGGGTTGGTAATTGAATAAACATGAATAGAACAGGTAGCAATGTTTGTTTCCTTTTATGGCGATCCGTCACCCACAATAGCGCCTGTGTTATTATTTCTCTTCCTAAACCTTAAACATGGACTCACTTTCACTGCTGCCATCACCATGGACAATTATCTGAAAATCATGATCCCTCCCACCCACGGCTCAATCTGCACACAACTTTTTTTAATCTCTTCATAAATCGATTTGATCTGTGGAAATGAAACCAAGGCCACCGGCTTCGTTGCAGTGGGCGTTTCATTAGGGCTGGAGAGGAAAAGATGACGAAATCTTCCAAAAGAACATTTGTACAATAATAATGATTTCTTTTATTTGATATAATCGAATGTGTTATTATATATATATATATATATATATATATATATATATATATATATATATATATATATATATATATATATATATATTTATTACAACATAATTTCTAACAACCTCTTTACTTGCAGCTTTACTTTCAGCTTTGCAAAATATTTAAGTCACAATGTACACAATGCATGTCAAGAGACAAAGCTTGGAATTGTAGCCCCAAACGGCATCCCAACTTACAATTATAAACAATTTGACTTCTCTTCATCAACATCCCCATCCCTCTCTGTCCTGTTTTACATGCTCCCTTCTGTACTCTTATTTGTGCTTTTTGTTTAAGTTAAACTATGCATTGTTCTGAAAAAAACAATGAAATAAATCCTCTGACATTGATTAATTCACAAGACATGTTAAGAATACGTATGAATCTGAATTATGAAATATGAATTGGGCTCAACGGTAATCTGTGGCTCTGCATGTATTGCTGGTTATGTTCATGGCTTTCTTTCAGGACTATCTGGGCAAGCCATACAGGCCCCCCTGCCTGTATGGCTTTGAATAAAATAATCGATTCTACTGTAACTATACGGCTGCCATCTGAAGGTCACTTACATGATCACTCATCGTTCAGATGTCTCCCCCCACCGCCTCTCCCTCCTCTCTCTCCCCCTTACATCCTACCATGGGGTCTTAGGAATCCCCCACACACAATGTCTGTCTCTCTCTTTCTGTGTGTGTGTGTGTGTGTCAAGTGTTGACAGCGTGGGTAGCGCCTCAAAAGTTACTTTGCTGTTCTCCATTTCTTCCTTTTCTATTTAAAAAGAAAACCCTCAACTTTTTTTCATTACTCGTCTTGCATGAACTTGAGGGAAGTATAGTAAAATAAGAACTATATATACGTGTATACCTATGAAATATCCCTAATGCCCCAGGACGGAGACGGGGACTCTGTCCTGTCGAAGAGAACCGTCTTTCGGATGAGACATTAAACCAAGGTCCTGATTCCCTGTGGTCACTAAAGATCCCATGGCACATGGTCATAAGAGTAGGGGTGCTAACCCCGGTGTCCCGGCCAAATTCCCAACCTGGCTCTTGTACCAACACGGCCCCCTAATCATCCCCTGGTCTCTAATTGGTTAGTTTCATTCCTCACCTCTCCGCTGAGCCAGTGTGTGGTGAGCGTTCTGGCGCATACTGGCTGCCGTGCATCACCCAAGTGGGTGCTACACACTGGTAGTGGATGAGGTGTCATACCCCCCTCCCCACACACACACACCAAGTGCTTTTATTGAAAAGCGCTATATAAATGCAATTCATTATTTTTATTATTATTATTATTATTATTATTATTACCTACATGTGTTTACAGCAGTGGTATTATATGAGGTTGTGGACTTTATTTAAACTCCACCTCTGTGAATGCCTGCAGCCTTTTTGGCATGGAGGAGAATTGTGTTGTGTCATTATGATGTTGGAGTCCTGTATTGTGTCCACCTTAGGGATATCTTCGCTGGAAGAGAGTCATTTGTC